TCAGAGTTGCATTTTGTTTGGGGACATTTCCTAAGACATGGAATCATTTCTAACATCTTTGGAGTCTCATAAGACTATTTTGTTTAAATTGTTTTTCCAAGGGCAGATTCGTATTAACAAAGACTAGAATGAAGTCAGCAATAGTCATGAATATTCATACGAAACTGTATATTGCAGAGGAAAACATAAATGATATTCTTATAAACAGTCTCAGTTTTGCACAGCATCAAATCAAACTCCTTGAACCATTTTATAACACAGAACAGTATCTTTTGATTTATTGCTGCAGGGGAAGAGAACATGTCCTTCAACTCTTTCTGAGAGTCATGCATGTACTTTATTATGAAAACTATGTTTTTAAAACCAAGCCCTGGAATATTATTAGCTATTACATGCAAAACAAAAGAAAAGAAAAAAGAAAGAAAGAAAAAGGCCTTTGGAGCTCAGTTGGGATGGCAAAAAAAAAAAAAGAGAGAGAGAGAGAGAAATGCCAAGTAGGCATTTATTCAATGATAATAATTTGATAACATTTTTCTTCTCATTGGCTCACTGGCCAGAACTCTGCCATATGGCCACCCCAGATGAAAAGGAGGCAGGAAAACAGAGATATATTTCTCAAACTGGTGACTTGATCACCTGAACAAATTTGAAATAATAAGGAGGAAACAGAGGTTGGATATCAGGTAGGCAACTCTCGGGGTGTACCTGAGACGCTGCCCTAGAGGAGACAGAGAGCTGGGGCTGCTGAAGAGAGTCTCAGAGAAGAGGTTTCTTTCCGGTTTCGAGATCAAGGAGAGAACTTCCAGGAGGAAGTTACATTTGACCTTGACTTGGAGAGACTGGGAGGGTTTGAATGTGGGCAGAGGACAGAGTTCCAGAAGGATGCTGCGACAAGGGGAGTGGCCTGAGCAAACAGGTGGAGAAGGATGTGCAGAGCATCTGTAGAAAGGATACCCATTTCTGCCAGGCGGTGTGGTGGTTCCCACCTGTAATCCCAGAACTTAGGGAGGCGAAGGTGGGCAAATCACCTGAGGTCAGGAGTTTGAGACCAGCCTGGCCACCATGGTGATAGCTCATCTCTACTAAAATTCCCAGCTACTTGAGAGGCTGAGGTGGGAGAACTGCCTGAACCCAAGAGGCAGAGGTTGCAGTGACCCAAGATCGTGCCATTGCACTCCAGCCTGGGCAACAGAGCAAGACTCTGTCTCAAAAGAGAGAGAAAAAAAAAAAGATACCTGTTTTTTGTTTGTTTGGTTGTTTTTGGTATGTAAAGAATGACAGGGTGCGGCCGGGCGCGGTGGCTCAAGCTTGTAATCCCAGCACTTTGGGAGGCCGAGGCGGGTGGATCACGAGGTCGAGAGATCGAGACCACCCTGGTCAACATCGTGAAACCCCGTCTCTACTAAAAATACAAAAAATTAGCTGGGCATGGTGGCGTGTACCTGTAATCCCAGCTACTCAGGAGGCTGAAGCAGGAGAATTGCCTGAACCCAGGAGGCAGAGGTTGCAGTGAGCCGAGATCGCGCCATTGCACTCCAGCCTGGGTAACAAGAGCGAAACTCCGTCTCAAAAAAAAAGAATGACAGGGTGCAGGGATGGGGGCTATAGAGGGGAGGAAAATATGGGGCAAAATCAGGGAGAACTCAAATGCAAGGCAAGGGAGTTTGGAGTGTAGCCTGTCAGCCACTGAAACGTTGTTTATTTCTCAAATATCTCTTAAATATATCACCTTCTCTTTGTCCTCTATAGCTACTGCTTCAGCTCAGACTTCATCATCTTTCTCCTGGACTGTTGCTTCCTCTTCAGTGCAGACCCAAAGAGACCCTTAGAATACCCAAGCCCATTCTCCCACAGTTGACAACTGTTCCATAATTTCCGTGATTTCCCCCACTGATGTGGGAGGGAATCCAAGCTCCTCAGCCTGGCATTTGAGGCTCTTTGAAAAGGAAATGGAGCAGGAATGGAGACTACAAAGAGGAAGGTAGACATGGTGTTGAGGCTTCACAAAGAGCACAGGGATAATCCCTGTTTTTTTGTTTTAGAGGCAGGGTCTCACTCTGTTGCCCCGGCTGGAGTACAGTTGTGTGACCACAGCACACTACAGCCTCTACGTCCCAGGCAGAAGAGATCCTCCCACCTCCGCTTCCTGAGTAGTTTGAACTACAGGCATTTACCATTACACCCAGCTAATTTTTTTTTTTTTTTTTTTTTTTTTTTTTTTTTTTGTAGGGAGAGGGTCTCCCTACATTGCCCAGGCTGGTCTGAAGCTCAAGCAGTCCTCCCACCTCAGCCTCTCAAAGTGCTGGGATTACAGGCATGAGCAACTGTGCCCAGCCCAACCTCTGTTCTTGAAGCTTCTCAGCATCTGGTCCCATCAGGCCCCTAATTCACAAAATTAACAGACCTTAAGGGTGGATTGAAGAGACAAGAGCCCCTAGCAAGCAGTGGACTTCTTTCCAACCTCACCCCATGCCTCTGACTGTTGGCTCTCTCCTCATCCACTCCAAATCCTGCCCTCCAGGACCGACCGATCTGAGGTCAGAGTTAGAAGCAGGAGACATCCTGGTCCTCTCTTGCCCCTGAGATCTCACTGGGGCTGATGGAACTGCCACTGCTATGGTTGGGTAAGTGGAAGGAGAGGCAGCGTGGGGGTGTCTGGGGGAGGTAAGGGTGGGTGGGGGTGGAAGGTGGACAGGGCTGAGGTAAGATGAAGAGGTGAAGACATTAAAAAATTAGGTACTTGGCTGAGCACAGTGGCTCACACCTATAATCCCAGCACTTTGGAAGGCCAAGATGGGCAGATCACCTGAGGTCAGGAGTTGGAGACCAGCCTGGCCAACATGGTGAAACCCTGTCTCTACTGAAAATAGAAAAATTCGCCAGCATGGTGGTGGCTACCTGTAATCCCAGCTACTGGGGAGGCTGAATTGGAAGAATCGCTTGAACCTGGGAGGAGGTGTTTCAGTGAGCCGAGATCGTGCCACTGCACTCCAGCCTGGGTGACAGCAAGACTCTGTCTAAAAAAAAAGAATGAATGAATGAATGAATGAAAAGAAAAGAAAATGTAGAATCCTCATTCTACAATGTAGATCCTCAAAAAACTTACCCTGTCTTTGAAGACCAGAGTTCAGGTTCAAACTCTATCACCTAGAGTAATTTTCTTCAGTTTGCTCACCTGGACAATGGGTATTCCCCTTCTACACAGCAAAAGGAAATTTATTTGTGGAAACCATTCAACCATAACAGTCCCAGGTTTCACAAGGCTGTTGGGGAGGGGAGAGGGTTCCAAATGAGCTAATGGGTAGGGAGCACAATTATTCACTAACTGTTCACTATTATGTGGTCCCCTGTCATGTAATGTGACTTAAGTGACAACCTGCAGTTATCATTAGGGTGCCATGTGTGTCTATAGTTATTGTCCTTAATTCTCACAATACTGTAGCATTGGTATTATTGTACCCATTTTTCTGATTGAGAAACAGATTCAGAAACGATGCAATGTGGCCAGAACCACAAGATGCAATTAATACCAACAAGAAGAGCAATAAAAATCCAGGCCGGGTACAGTGACTCACTCCTGTAATCCCAACATGCTGGGAGACTGAGGTGGGCAGATCACGAGATCAGCAGATCAAGACATCCTGGCTAACATGGTGAAACACCATCTCTACTAAAAATACACACACACACACACACACACACTCACACACACACACAATTAGCCGAGTGTGGTAGCACGCAACTGTAGTCGCAGCTACTCGGGAAGCTGAGGCAGGAGAATTGCTTGAACCTTGGAAGTGGAGGTTGCAGTGAGCCAAGTTTGCACCACTGCATTCCAGCCTGGGTGACAGAGCGAGACTCTGTCCCCTCCCCCCCTCAAAAAAAATCCAGCAGACTGAATCAGGGTGGTGCATTTTAGAGGTCCCCAAGACTCCTCTGATTCAGTGAATCCACAAGAAGGACTCAAAACTCAGCAGCACTGTTTCACTCATGATGGCAGTTGATTACAGCACAAGAATACAGATGAAAATCAGTAGAGGGAAGAGGTGCACAGGGCACAGTTCGGGAGAGAGCAGGCATGAGCTTTCAGCTGTCCTCTCCCGGTGGCATTGCACCAACAGAGCTTGCTTCTTTCAGCAGCAACATGTGGTGATATTCACAGACATGCCAAGAAGGGAAGTGCACCCAAGTCTTGGTGTCCAAGGTTTTTATTGTGGGTCTGGTCACTGACTTATCTTAGTCTTCAGCCCCTCCAGAGGTCAAGCTGATGCCTCAGGATCCAGGGCCCCCACCATAAATCACAGTGTTAGCATCGACTGATATAGTCCAAGGCCTCAGCTAAACAAAGACACTCTTATCAGGCAGGATATTCCAAGGGTTCAGAGGTCACCTCATAGGAGCTGGACAAGGGTCAAGCCTTTCTTACTCTTTTTTTTTTGTGTGAGACTGAGTTCTCGCTCTGTTGCCAGGCTGTAGTGCAGTGGTGCGATCTCGGCTCACTGCAACCTCTACCTCCCAGGTTCAGGTGATTCTCCTGCCTCAGCCTCCCAAGTAGCTGAGACTACAGGCCTGTGCCACCAGGGCCAACTAATTTTTGTATTTTTAATAGAGACCGGGTTTTACCACATTGGCCAGGAGGGTCTTGATCTCTTGACCTCGTGATCTGCCCACCTCAGCCTCCCCAAGTGCTGGGATTACAAGCATAAGCCACGCATGCCCAGCCAGGTAACTCTTTTAACGCACGGATGTAATACAGGAAAATGCTAGGTAGGTTTGTTTTTCAACTTGGATCTCTTCTTACAGGGTTACTTTCTCATGTTGTGACGGAAGTCAAGAAGATGCCAGTAGAAGAGGGGCTGTGTTGCGCATTGCAATTTCCCAAAGAACTCCCAAGCACTTCCATGATCATGGGTTACAGGCTCAACAAAAAGATCAGCTCCCTTGCAGCTACAAATAAACCCAATGCTACCATTGGTGATAACACCAAGGGCAGATTTTACATGACTGGGAATCTTGATGAACAAGACTGTACCCTACTCATCCACGATATACTCAAAGGGAACAGCATGACATATTTATCCCACGCAGATCTAGGAGAACAAAAAAGTGCTTTCCTGGGGAAGAACATCAAACTCTTTGCATCAGGTGAAGTTCGGTCTCAGGCAATAAATGGTTTGGAAGGAAGGAAATCCAAAAGTGGTTCTGGCAAATACGTGGTTTTTACTTGATGGGCACTGGGCTTTACCAAAACCTTTGGTATTTGATTTTTACAATAATGCAATGAGATCAATAAAATAGGTCACTTTGGCCAGGCGCGGTGGCTCAGGCCTGTAATCCCAGCACTTTGGGAGGCCGAGGCGGGTGGATCACGAGGTCAAGAGATCGAGACCATCCTGGTCAACATGGTGAAACCCCGTCTCTACTAAAAATACAAAAAAATTAGCTGGGCATGGTGGCGCGTGCCTGTAATCCCAGCTACTCAGGAGGCTGAGGCAGGAGAATTGCCTGAACCCAGGAGGCGGAGGTTGCGGTGAGCTGAGATCGCGCCATTGCACTCCAGCCTGGGTAACAAGAGCGAAACTCTGTCTGAAAAAAAAAAAAAAAAAAAAAAAAAAAAGAATAGGTAACTTTACTTTTCCAAATAGAAATGGCAAAGAGAGAAGGAACTGGTCCTGTGTCATTCAACCAATACAAAATAGAAAGGAAATGATCACAGATTGGGCTGGGAAGGGGCAGAGTCTAGGAGGAGAATGGGGCTGGAGGAAGGGAGGCAGAGTAGGAGCTACCACCAGCACATCTAGTCTGCGACTCAGGTAAGGGGTCCGAACGTAGAATCCTCATTCTACAATGCAGATCCTCAGAAAACTGCTCACCCTCAGTCTTTGAAGACCAGAGTTCAGGTTCGAGCTCTACCACCTTGACTAATTCTCTTCTGTTTGATCACCTGGACACTGGGGTGTTCCCTTCCACACAGAGAAAGGAAATCTATTTGTGAAAAAAACCATTCAACCACAACAATTCCAGGTTTCACTAGGCTGTTGGAGAGGTGAGGGGGTTGCAGATGAGCTCACGGATGGGGTGCACTCTGTAACCTGGAGACACTGCATCAGTCAAGTGTCCATGAGGGTCCCTTTTCCCCAAGGTTTGGGTCTATTTCTCTTTTCTCCAGACCTAACTCAAAAGCCAGAGCTCCACATCCGAGAGATTCTTTTGGCTGGGAAGCCTGTGACCTTGAACTGTACCCTCAAAGGCACCTGCAAAGAAACCAAAGCCCTCTTCCACTCCTGGAAGAACTCAGCCATCTCCAGCAACTCCTCCTCAGTGCTACACTCTACCCTGAAGCCCGAGGACCATGGCACTACCCTTGGATGTCACTTGAACTTCTCCCTAGCCAACATGACCAGAAGTAGCTTGGTCAAGCTCCATGTGATCTGTGAGTGCTGGTGGGCACAGGCAGATCCGGAGAATTAGTGGGCTTAAGGAAAGACCTGAGCCCCAGAGGGAAAGAAGTCTTGGGAGCTGTCACGTCTTCCCCCTGACCTTTCAAAGGCCAGAAGGAGGAGCTGAGCCTGAGTCTGAGGCAGATGTGGAGAGAGGATGATAGGGAACTGTTTTGAGTCCCAGCCCCACTCTGGGTTGCCAGAAAGTCTTTCTGAAGCTCCCTGTGAATAGCGAGTAAAGAGAAGACGGGGTCTTAGGGGAAGCAGAGAAGCAAAGTCAGGACATCTTGATGATTCCTGATTCTTCCTCCGCACAGCACCTGCCAGGCTGTTCAATTCCTCTTGTTCCTTGGAGAAGATAGTTCAGTGCAGCTGTTCCTTCCACGGGATCCCCACACCCTCCGTGCAGTGGTGGATGGGAGGTGTCCCTGTGGATGTGGACAGCATGGATAACGTCCTCCAGGTGACTTCTTCCACACATGTCCCCTGGGCCAACAGCACCATCCACCTCATCGGGGAGCCAGAAATAGTCATGAGACTTCGCTGTGAGGGGAAGAACCAATATAGAATTCACACTTCCAGCATCTTCCTGATACCAGGTGAGTATCCAGGAGCCTAGTGGCTGAGCTGCAAAGAACACTAAGGGCCAGATGCGGATGGGCGCAAGGCCAGAGGAATGGGTAGAGAGTTTTAGCTCAGACTTCAAGGCCTTTGGAGAAAAGTCAATCTCACTTTCCTCCGATTCCAGATAAGAAGTCAGTTTCCAGTGTGTTCATGAAAGGATTAATCCAGGGTGTTGTGTATGGAGCCATCGCATTCTCACTGCTCTTCTTCTGCCTTGTCCTCTTGTCGTGAGTATCAAAGTTTAAATTCATCAGCAGGCTTTCCCAAACCCTACTATCTTTATGTTCTCCATTACCTTCCTCATACTTTCTTCCAGTTAATTTTGCTTTGCCGTTTTTATTTTATTATTATTATTATTTTTTTTTTTTTTTTTTTTTGAGACAGAGTTTCGCTCTTGTTACCCAGGCTGGAGTGCAATGGCGCGATCTCGGCTCACCGCAACCTCCGCCTCCTGGGTTCAGACAATTCTCCTTCCTCAGCCTCCTGAGTAGCTGGGATTACAGGCATGCGCCACCATGCCCAGCTAATTTTTTGTATTTTTAGTAGAGACGGGGTTTCACCATGTTGATCAGGATGGTCTCGATCTTTTGACCTCGTGATCCACCCGCCTCGGCCTCCCAAAGTGCGGGATTACAGGCTTGAGCCACCGTGCCCGGCCTTATTTTTTTTATTTTTGAGACAAGGTCTCCGTCTTTCACAGTTCACTGCAGCCTCGACCTCCCTGGGCTCACATGATCCTCCCACCTGACCCTCCTCAGTGGCTGGGACTACAGGTGTGTGCCACCACGCCTGGTTAATTTTTGTATTTTTTGTAGAAGTGGGATTTCACCAAGTTGCCCAGGCAGGTCTTGAACTCCTGAGCTCACGTAATTGACCCACCTGGGCCTCCCAAAGTGCTGCTGGGATTACAGGCATGGCCCACTGCCACCGGCCTTGTCTACCTTTTTAAAATTGATTCTTATATTGTTCACTTTCAGCTATTCTTCTTTTTCAATATTTGTATTTAGGGCTGTAAGTTTCCCTGTAAGCGTGACTTTAGCTGCGTCTCACAAATTTTAATATATTTCATTACCATTTGGTTAAAATATTTCTAATTTCCATTATGATTTCTTGACCCATGAGTTTCTTAAGTACATTACTCTCTTTTTAAATTTCTAGCTTAAATTCAATAAGGTCAGAAAATATGTTATGCATCATTTCAATTCTTTTCTTTGTAACACCTTTTTTTGTTTAATTTTTTTTTCTAGCTTAAATTCAGTAAGGTCAGAAAATACGTTAATGCATCATTTCAATTCTTTTCATTGTGACACATTTTTTTGTTTAATTTTTATAAATAGTCCATGTGAACTTGAAAAGAATGTATATTCTATGCCTGTTGAATGCAGTATATATGTCTGTGTGTGTGTGTGTCTGTGTGCATGTACACACAGACACATACATATACATATATACCCTTTAAATCAAATTCACTAATCATGTTGTTTAAATCTTCTTTATTTGTTGTTTAAATCTTCTTTATTCTGACTTCATTGCCTGCCTGTTCTAATGATAAGAGATATGTATTTTTAAGTCTCCCACAATAATTGTGGATTTATTTGTTTCTTCTTGAAACTCTGTCAGTTTTTGCTTTATAAATATTGAGGTCAAGTCATTAGCTTCAAGTCTATTTTAAAATGTGCATACAAGGCCAGGCATGGTGGCTCACACCTGTAATCCCAGCACTTTGGGAGGCCATGGCAGGTGGATGACTTGAGATCAGGAGTTTGAGACCAGCCTGGCCAACATGGCGAAACCCCATCTATACTAAAAATAAAAAATTATCCAAGCATGGTGGCGCGTGCCTGTAATCCCAGCTACTCAGGAGGCTGAGGCAGGAGAATAGCTTGAACCCAGGAAGTGGAGGCTGCGGTGAGCCGAGATCGTGCTGCTTCAGTCCAGCCTGGGTAACAGAGTGAGAGACTCTGTCTCAAAAAAAAAAGAAAAGAAAAGAAAAAAGAAATGCATACAAATATCTTCCTTATATCAGACACAATTTTTTTTCTTCACCTTTGTATTAAAGTCGATTCTGTCAGATATTAGCAGCCCTCCACCAGCTCTTTTTTTTTTACATCTACTCTCAATCTGTGATCTTAAGGTTTAGATATGTGTTGCATAATCAGCATATAATTTTGACTTTTTTTAGTCTTGTAATTTTTAAATGGGATTTAAATTAATTTGCTTGATGTAACTACTGGTGCATTTAAATACTGATGGCATTTCAATATATCATCCTGGCTTGTTTCTTATGTTTCTTTCTTCCCTTTACTTGTCTTCCTTTGGATTGGCTGGGTATTTTTTACCAATCCATTATTTTCTTTCTCCTAGTTGAAAAGTATGCGATTGTACGAATATTTTTAAAATATTCTTTTACTGGTTACCCAAAAATCACAACATCTATACTTCAGTTATCAAAATATCTATTTGATCATTTCAAAGTATAAAACCTTTACCCTCCTCCAGATAATGTAAAGACCTTAGAACAGTTTAACTCTGTATTTTCTCCTCACAACTTACATGCTATTTTTATAACATGCTTTGTGGCATTTTATCAATTCCAATATACATGTTATTTCGCATTCAAACATCTCTGAAATAGAGATATGTCTTACGATTGATGGTGATTTACAGTTGCTGCTGGTCCCAGGTGGCAGTCCTGATAAAGTTGTCACTGCCTACGGGCGCATGAACTCCATCATTGCTGTTCCTATTATCACTTTAATTGAATTATTTGGTCATTGATACATGTTTATTTTACTTCCTTTTCAAACATTTGCAAAAGTATTACATTATTAGCTGGTACTGAAACAAAGCTATTGTGTATCCAGAAGGACACAGAAGTAAAAGAGTAAGCGTACCTTTCATTTTTGTGGCATCTGTAACATTTGTTTGAGGAAGGACCAGAATTGCATATTTTTTTGTAAAGCAACAACCTGGTGCTTTATAGAACCTAGAAAAGAAAGAGAGCCACATGTGGATAAAGCCATGCTACTTTTTCTTATAAGATAAAAAGCAAAAGGGTAATTTATCTCATAAACTGCCAGTGCAAATGAAATCAGAAGAAATTGCTTCATCCTTTACAAGAGATTTTAAAAATTTAAATTAACATGACAGGGGATGCTTCATGTGCCATTCAGGACTATATTAGTTCTTAATAGTTTAATCGGCAAAATTTTCCCTCAGTGATACATAAATTATGCATCTTACTATTAGTGGCATTTTATTATCAATGAAATACCAATTCTGTATTGGTGTGTTCTGGAGGTTGTGAATGGGGAAGAAAACCCACCGTAAAGCAAAATGGGGTTGGGTGCATTGACTCACGCTTATATTCCTAGCACTTTGAGGGGCCAAGGCAGGAGAACTGCTTGAGCCTAGGAGTTTGAGACCAGCCTGGGCAACATAGTGAGACCCCATCTCTACAAAAAATACAAAAATTAGCTGAGCGTGGTGGCACAGGCATAGCCCCCGCTGTTCAGGAGACTGAGAGCCCAGGAGGTGGAGGCTGCAGTGACTTGTGATCACGCTACTGCACTTCAGTCTGGATGACAGAGTGAGACCCTGTCTCTCAAAAAAAGAAAAGAAAAGTAAACAATCATTTGCCAATATTTTGCCATTTTCCCGCATGTCTGGATTTGTATGCTTTGACCTCATTCATAACTTTTTTAGAGTGTGCAAAACATGCAAATGACCTTTAAAACAGTGCACATGCTGCACACTGATTCAACAAAGATGTGTGATGCAAAGCCTGTCTCCGTAAGTTAATTCACAGAAATATATTGAGCAAATTCTACATGCCAGGTCATACCGTTACGGGAAAGGGGTCCAGATCCAGACCCCAAGAGAGGATTCTTAGCTCTTGCACAAGAAGGAATTCAGGGTGAGTCCGTAGAGTAAAGTGAAAGTGAGTTTATTGAGAAAGTCAAGGAATGAAAGTGTGGCTACTCCGTAGACAGAGCAGCCCCGAGGGCTGCAGGTTGCCCATTTTTATGGTTATTTCTTGATGATACGCTAAACAAGGAGAGGATTATTTACGCCTCCCCTTTTTAGACCATATAGGGTAACTTCCTGATGTTGCTATGGCAGCTGTAAACCAGCATGGTGCCGGTGGGAGTGTAGCAGTGAGGACCACTAGTGGTCACTCTCGTGACCCTTTTGGTTTTCGTGGAGTTTGGCCAGCTTCTTCACTGCAACCTGTTTTATCAGCAAGGCCTTTATGACCTGTATTTTTTGCTGACCTCCTATCTTATCCTGTGACTTAGAATGCCTTAACCATCTGGGAATGCAGCCCAGTAGGTCTCAGCCTTATTTTACCCAGCTCCTATTCAAGATGGAGTTGCTCTGGTTCGAATACCTCTGACATTATCGTAGAGCAAACCAGGCTCAGGGACACGGACCCTGAAGGAAGACATAGGCAGATGTGTAGGGATAAATGTTGGGAAGTGCCTGGAGGAAAACAGGGAGCTGGGAGAGAGTGTAGCAAGGGGAGAGGGTGGGGAGAAGCCTTTAGGTACTTGGTCTGAGACCTAAAGGAATAGAGGGAGCTGCCCAGACCGAGGGAGCCGCAATTCCAGGCTCTGAGATTGCAGAGGTTTATCGAGCCCAAGAACCCAGCAGGGCCAGATGAGCTCAGATCTTAGGAAGAGCTTGGGAGAGGCCAACCTGTGGGCAGAGCCTCAAGGGCTCTGGTGAGAAGTTTGGGTTTCATCTTCCCTGTGGAGGGCTCTTTCCTCCCATGCTTGCTCATCCTGGAAGGTGAGCTGCTCTTCAATGGGGACTTTATCTATGAGAATCGTATTTGGACAATGTGGTGGGTTTCTCCAAAATGAGTTTTGTATGAGTTGCCCCACAGCATAACAAACCCGGGACTATTTGTATTCACTGCTTACCTTGCCGCTCTCTGATGCAAATCTCTGCAAATGGAGGTATCAGTTTCTAAGAGAAAAAAAAAAAAAATTTTTTTTTTTTTGCAACCTAAAGCCCAGGCTGAAATAGACATGCTGCCTTCATTCCCTTGACCAATTACTAGATTCTTTTTCTAGCGCCCCTTTGATGTGGGGGTGTCAGACCCAGGTCCCTACATAGTGTGGACCCAAGGCTCTGTTGTCTGCTGTCACCGGACCATTTAAATCAAGTCCCTCGGTTATTATCACAACAGACCCTCCCTGCCCTGCGGTCCAGCCATGTGCAGCCAGCCCTCAATTGATGCGTGGCCTCTGATCTTCAGTCCCCCGCATCCTTACGACCTCAGCCCCATCAGTATTTTCAGATGGTTTTGTAGAGCAAGGGTTTTCAGACAGGAAATGGATGTCTGAATCTTGCTGTCTGAATGCAGAAAGAAACAACGGAAGATCTCCATCTGGGGAGGAACAGGTCGGGTCTTTAAAGCTCACTCAGGCTGCTCTGCAGGGGACACGGAGCAGAAGGACAGAGCCGCCAGCCGGGGACCAGCAGGTGGCCCCTGCAGCTGCCAGAGCAAGAAAGGAAGGGGACCAGTTATATAATCCATGGGATGTCCACACCGCAGAACAACACAGCTGTCAGAAAGACCAAGGCAGTGTGCCGGACTCGGACATGCAGGCATGAGCCAGAAATATTAGGAGGAGGAAGAAAGGTGCAAAAAAAAAAAAAAAAGACCTGTCCAAAACTAAAAAGTATATATTGAAACATCACAGGGCAGCAAGAAAAGCAGAGGAATGGGCTAGACATGAAGGGCCTCCAGCTGAAGGGCTGGGCTGTGTCCTGGCCATGGAGGGGCTGTGAGCAGGAGAGGAGCCGGACAGCTCTGGGGACAGTGAATTCCAGGAGGCCCAGAAAGAGGCTTGGGAGGGGGTCCACGCCAAGAGATTAGAGGCTCCTTATCCCCATCTGATGGGGTGCGGTGGGGCTGTGCTGGTCACAGAACCAGCAAGCGGAGGAAGCTGGTGTTCTGGGCACAGCCCAGGGTTCCTTCCGGGAACTGGACAGGGGCACGGGCTGAGCACGGCATTCACAGGGCTTCCTGCCTTAGAATGAAGATGCTTACCTGGTGGGAGGAGCATCAGATTCCCAAGACCGAAGGCCTGACCCTTAAGAAGCCAGAGCTGCTGGAGGAACCAGAAGTACCCAAAATATGTGAAGCTAACACCCGACCAGACCAGGCTGGAGGTAAGTCCCTGGGCCAGTCACAGGCAGGCCATCAAGCAACAGGGCCGCAGGCCAGGGCCCCCACCCCATCACCTCCTGGTAGAACCATCAGGAGGCACTCCTTCAGGACAGAGTCCCTGGCCCCCTCGCCCCCACACACCAGATGCTATGTTTGCCAAAACCAAGTCCCACAGACTGGGTGGCTTGAAGAGCTGATACTGATCTTCTCACCCTCTAGAGGCTGGAAGTTGCAGGTCAAGGTGCGGGCAGTGGGGCTTCCTTCTGGGGCCTCTCTCCTTGGCCTGTAGATGCTGTCTTCCCGCTTTGTCTTCACACGGTTGTCCCTCTGCATGAACCTGGGTCCTAATGTCCTTTCCTTGTAAGAACACCAAGGCCGGGCGCGGTGGCTCATGCCTGTAATCACAGCATTTTGGGAGGCCAAGGTGGGCGGATCACAAGGTCAAGAGATCAAGACCATCCTGGCTGACACGGTCAAACCCTATCTGTACTAAAATGACAAAAAAAAAAAAAAAAAAAAAAAAAAAAAAAAGAACGAACACCAGTCATTGAAACTTAATTACCTAATTAAAGGGCCTGGCTCCAAATACAGTCACATTCTGAGTCACTGGGAGTTAACATGTGGGTGGGGGGCGGCGGTGGGTAGGATTCACACTTCCGCCCATAACAGAAGCTTAAGGAGGCTGCTTTAAGGATCCCTCTGTGTTGTTCTCCCACAGTCTAGGGCTCTGGAGGGAAAGAAGAGCGTAGCCTCCAAGACAGATCACGGCACGTGGCCCAGGACGTGGAAACCTGGCCCAAGTGAGCTGCGCAGACCTGCAGACGCTAGCGGCCACTCCATCTCAGACTCCAGACCCAGAGGCCCTGGCCCAGCTCTCACCCATGTCCTCAGGGAACATCCCCAGAGGCCTCCCCTGCACCAGCCCTCGTGTTACCCAACATAGGGAACACGCCTCACACCCGACACCTGCCTGAGGGACATGCCACCCCAGCAGGCGGGCTGCCAGGAGCAGAAACAAAATGCACAAGGACACACCAGGCAGGCAGCACCAGGAAACAGGCTGCCACCGTCACAGGGGCCGCTGTGAGCCCAGCGTGGATCCAACCCAGCCCCGGCCTTCTTCAGAGAGAAACAGAAACATGCTCAGCATGATGGGAAGCGGCAGAAACACTGAAGAACCCCCTGGAGCACATCCACAGGGACACTGGGGAGCATGAGGCCCAGCCTCTGCACCTCTGCATTGCAAACAGGGAAACTGAGGCTCACCGTGCCTCCGGCCACACTGCAAGGCCGTGGGTTGCTCAGGACTCCTGAATCCCGGTCCCTTGTCCCCTGCAGCAGCCGACCCTATCCCTGGACGTTTTTCCCTGACTTTATGAGACTCTAGTGCAGAGGCTGCAAACTCAAATGCTCACAGCCTCCTGGCAGGGAACAAGATGGGCACAGCTGGCCTAATGGGGGCCTCGTCTGTCTTGAGAGCAGCTGCCCCTCCTGAAGGCAGCGGTTCACAGTGACGGAACTCCCTCCACCTCCTCCCCACCCCCTCCCCACACAGGTCAGGAACGCCGGGTGACTACTGCCAGCTCTTCACATTTTTTTGTTGTTGTTTTTTTTGAGGAGAATCCAGAGATCTTGATTTCAGTGTGAAATGTCTTGACTCCGGCACAGTAGTAACTGAGAACATGTTTTTTAAAAGGCAGCACCATGTGGGTCAAAGAAAATCCCCCCCAAAGGGGCCTCTCATTTGCAAACTCCAATCAGAGGCATAGATGTGGAGGGGACTGCCACTATCTGAGGAGCCCAAAGCCGGTGGGGTTTTTCAGAACGCAGACACTTTGTCAAGGGAAGCCAGAATCCCCAGGTTCTGGGAGGAAGCTTGGGTCTGGAAGGGTAAGGAGGGGTTTCTAAGTAGAGAAAAACATTCCAGGTGTTCACTCGTGTGGCCACAAATCCCAGAGGCCTCCCATGTGCCAGGCCCTGGGCTGGAGACCAGAAGTCAGACATAGGTTCTGCCCATACAGACCTCCAGGTTGTTGCAGTCCTGAGACATGGTCAGGGCTGTGACCCAAGAAGCATGGGGAGAGGGGAGGGGAGCAGGAGTTGGCATCAAGGGACGGAGGGCCTGACCCCACGTGGGAGCTGAGTGTTGCTACCTAAGCCCAGCCGGCAGAGGTCATGGCACCGCCAGGCACAGGAAGCTACAAGATTGAAGGCAGGAGGCTTGGGGCTAGGAGGGGGATCGGTGGGCAGAGCACTCCAGCTAGGGCAGAGCAAGCAGCATTTCTGGGGCAGGAGGCAGACGACAGTGAGAACTGAGCCAGGCAAGGGGCCAGAGGCTGGACCTGGGTAAAGCTCCCCTGCAAACAGACCTCAGTTGTCACCCAGCTCACCCTCAGGAGAAGCCAGGGAGGAGCAGATACCTGGTGGTGGTCAGCTTCCCCTCCTCTCCGCAGGACATGCACAGCGGTGACAGTGTCCCTGAGTTTGACTTCCGTCCTGATGCCCCACCAGTTGGGGACTAGGAGGCTGATGTCAGGAAAAATGTGGCATCCCTATGGGTGGGCTGAGGGGTGAGCGTAGCCGGGAACCAGCAGGAGCTCCAAAAATAAAGATGAGATGGGAAAGTGGAATCATCTCCCAGGAAGCGGATATTGGGCCGAACTCTTTCCCCAGAGTCGGGAAAGATAGAAGCGGGCACTCCAGGTCAGAAAGACAGATGGGCCCTAATACCAGGTTGTGTGTCCCTGTCTAGGCTGAGGTCACTGCTGGCCCCTCGAGATCCCCAGTGGGGATCAGAGCAGGCTAAGTACCTGGAGCAAACTGCTCCTCAGTCAGTGGTCAGCTGTGTGCACGTGTACGTCTACAAGGAGAGGTTCCGAGGAGGAGAGCGGGGCAGGCGGCTCTGTGTAAACCTCTGTTCCCTCAGGAGATGATGGAAGCAACCGTGATGATGGTCCTGGCCAGGACTGAGGGTGTTCCAAGCCCTCACAGACCTTCATTCACTTAAGCCAGAGACCTTGTGGAATCAGTCCCATTACCATGCCCATTTTACAGAGGAGGAAACTGAGGCCTAGAGAGGCTGAGAAGCCTCCCTGGGGTTACATTCCTACCTTCTGAGACAGATGCTATCCCCCTGCTCTTACCCACAAGGAAGTTGAGGTTCAGAAAGGGGAGGGTCCTTCCAGAATCTCACAGCCTGGGAACAAAGCCAGATCTGAGGTGCCCCTGCCTGCTTTTGCCTGCTCCTAGGAGCAAGGATCACATCATCAGGATCACTTCTCCCCCTTCTAGAGTGCAGACTGTCTGCTGGCCATGCAACCAGTCAGGCTTTGCTGGCTCAAAGAGCAGGTCTAGACTCTCCCTTCCGTTCACCTCAAAGTCTAGTCTCTCCCTCTGTGTCTCTCTCTCCCTCCCTCTCAGGTCCATGCACAGATGGTTAACCCTCTGTGTGCCCCGTACCCTGCTCTGTTTGGAAAATGGCCGTGGATAGGGCTGCCATCATCCCTGTCTCTCGCAGATGGCGAGGGACATTGCAGAGGGTGGGGGCCATGGGATCATGAACACCTGTGCTGACCACTTGGACAATGGAGCTGAGCCACCTGTGTTTAGATCCCAGCTCTGGCCCTGAGTGTGGACCACTCCCGTGTTCCCTAACCCCAGCTTTCATCAGCAAAATGGGGGCATAACAGACTGCATCACTGTGAGATGCAGATGAGCTCATGTTTATTCAGTAACCGGCTCAGGATCAAGGGCACGGTGATGGCACCTGTGTCCGTTGCACAGTGTGTCCATGCCGCGCCATGTTCTAAGCACATCACATGGGTCCTCTTGTTTGTATCCATCAGGGTTCCACCAGAGAAACAGAATGAGTACGCGAAGGCTTATTGCAAGGAAGTGGCTTACATGATTCTGAGAGCTGGCTAGGCCGGTGCTACGAACTGAACGTCTGTGTCTTGCCAAAATTTTTATGTTGAAACTCATCCCCAACTATGATGGGATCTGGAGGTGGGGCTTTTGGGATATGATTTGGTTATGTGGGTGGAACCTTCATAAATGGGATTCATGCCCTTATAAGAGGCCTAAGATGGCTGGGCATGGTGGCTCACGCCTGTAATCTCTGCACTTTGGGAGGCTGAGGTGGGTGAATCATGAGGTCAGGAGTCTGAGACCAACCTGGCCAGCATAATGAAACACCGTTTCTACTAAAAATACGAAAATTAGCCGGGCGTGGTGGCTCAAGCCTGTAATCCCAGCACTTTGGGAGGCCGAGGCGGGTGGATTACGAGGTCAAGAGATCGAGACCATCCTGGTCAACATGGTGAAACCCCGTCTCTACTAAAAATACTAAAAATTAGCTGGGCATGGCGGCGCGTGCCTGTCATCCCAGCTACTGAGGAGGCTGAGGCAGGAGAATTGCTTGAATCCAGGAGGCGGAGGCTGCAGTGTGCCGAGGTCACGCCATTGCACTCCAGCCTGGGTAACAAGAGTGAAACTCCGCCTCAAAAACAAAAAAAAAACAAAAACAAAACAAAACAAAACAAAAATACGAAAATTAGCCAGGTGTGGTGGCATGCACCTGTGAGCCCAGCTACTCAGGAGGCTGAGGCAGGAGAATCATTTGAACCTTACACTCCAGCCTGGGTGACAGAGTGAGACTCTGGCCAGTGGCAGTGGCTCACACCTGTAATCCTAGCACTTTGGGAGGCTGAGGCAGGAGGATCACTTAAGCTCAGGAGTTTGAGACCAATGTGGGCAACATGGTGAAACCCCATCTCTACTAAAAATACAAATTAGCCAGACATGGTGGCGCACACCTATAGTCCCAGCTACTCAGAGGCTGAAGCGGGAAGATCACTTGAGCCTGGGAGGTAGAGATTGTGCCACTGTACTCCAATCTGGGAGACAGAGCCAAACCCTACCTCAAAAAAAAAAAAAAAAAGATGTTTCCTATTCTGCCATGAGGACATAGCATAAGACGCTGCCTTTGAACCGAATCTGCTGGTGCCTTGATCTTGGACTTCCCAGCTTCCCCGACTGTGAGAAATGAATTTCCTGTGTTTATAAGCCACCCAGTCTACGGCATTTTGCTGTAGCAGTACACATCGAGTAAGACAGCAGGTCTGAAGTCTGTAGGGCAGGCAGGCAGGCAGGAGGGGCAGGCTGGAAACTCCAGCAGCAGCTGAAGCAGAATTATTGCTTCTCCTGGGAAACCTCCATTCTGCCTTTCAACTGATTGAATCAGACCCACCTACATTATTGAGGATAATCTCCTTCACTTAAAAGTCAACTGATTAGAACAACAACAACAACGTAACTATGAGATGTGGCAGATATGTTAATTTGCTTGACAGTAGTAATCATCTCGCTCTGAATATATATATCAAAACATCACGTTGCGTACCTTAAATATATACAGCAAAGTCGACTGATTAGAGACGTCAGTCACGGCGACAAAATCCTTCCACGGTGACATGTCTCGGTGTTTGGTTGAGCAGCTGGGGGCTGTGGCTCAGCCAGGTTGGCACATAAACAAATCATCACACCACTGGGTCCCCACCACGGCTCTGTGAGGTGGGTTCTGAGATTAACCCCAGCCTAGAGAAAAGATAAGGAGACTCATAGAGGGTAAGCAGCCTGCCTGACTGAAGAAATGGCGGAGACACCTGAGCCCGGGCTCGGACCGCCCCTTCCTCACACACCTCCCAACCACGTCCCCTCCAACCTTGCTCAGGGAGTGTCTTCACTAGCTGCTATTATTAGCACCTAGCAGGGCTCCAGGGACATGGCACAAAAAAAGGAAAGTACATCTCAAAGTGGGTAACCATACCTGACCTTGTCCTAGGAAACAGAGAGTCGGGAGGGAAGTCTTTGAAGATGTGGAGAGTTCAGTCAATGAAAAGGATAGGAACTAATGTATTCCTTAAAAATATACTGAGGGCTGGGTGTGGTGGCTCATGCCTCTAATCCCAGCACTCTGGGAGGCCGAGGTGGGTGGATCACTTGAGGTCAACATGGTGAAACCCTGTCTCTACTAAAAATACAAAAAGGTAGCTGGGTGTAGAAGCGTGCACCTGTAATCCCACCTACCCTAGAGGCTGAGACAGGAGAATTGCTTGAACCTGGGAGGCGGAGGTTGCAGCTGAGCCGAAATCGTGCCGCTGCACTCCAGCCTGGGCGAGAGAGCGAGACTCCATCTAAATATATACTGAGACTGGCTGTGATGGTATGTGCCTGTAGCCCCAGCTACTCAGGAGGCCAAGGTGGGAGAATCATTTGAGGCCAGGAATTTGAGACCAACCTGGACAACATAGCAAGACTCCATCTCTACAAAAAATAAAAGTAATAGCTGGGTATGGTGGTGTACACCTATAGTCCCAGCTACTTTGGAGGCTGAGACAAGACGATAGCTTGAGGCCAAGCAGAGTAATCCCAGCACTTTGGGAAGCTGAGGCTGGAGGATCACTTGAGCCCAGGAGTTTGAAACCAGCCTGGGCAACATAGTGAGAGTCCCCACTTCTATAAATGTTTTTAAAATTAGCATGCAGACAGGTGCAATGGCTCATGCCTGTAATCCCAGCAAGATTTTGGGAGTCCGAGGCAGGTGGATCACCTGAGGTCATGAGTTCAAGACCAGCCTGGCCAATATGGTGAAACCCTACCTCTACTAAAAATACAAAAATTAGCCCAGCATGGTGGTGGGTGCCTGTAAGCCCCAGCTACTCAGGAAGCTGAGGCAAGAGAATTGTTTGAAGTTGGGAGGCAGAGGTTGCAGTGAGCCAAAATTGCGCCATTGCACTCCAGCCTGGGTAACAAGAGTGAAACTCTGTCTCAGAAAAAAAAAAAAAAAAAAAAAAAAAGTTTTAAAAATTTAAAAAAAGAATGAATTATTTTAGGGAGGCTTTGCAATGAATAAGGTATGAATCTTTGTACACCCCTGAGCTTTCTAAGCACTGTGTTCAGTGGGTTTCAGGCCTTGACTCATGCCCTGCAAAGCCCCCTAGCAGAATGGGACGCTCACAATGAATAAAGATCAAAGCCAATGATGGTGCTAGTTGAGCGAGGTCCTGGCCTGAAAGAGACAGCCCCTTCCAGTGGGATTTCTTAAACAGACTCTAATAAAGGTACCATTTGCAGAGGTGCAAGCAGGGTTAGGGATGTGGGGATGGTAAGGATCTCAGGTGCCAGCAACAGGAGGAAAGTGTTCATGCCAGATTCTGCTGAGTCCTGGAGGAACAAGCGGAGGAATGGTGTGACTCAGACCTTAGCGAGAACTGGGATCATGGAGGAGGGGCTGTTCACGGCGTTGAGGCTCCCAAGGTGGGCAGCAGGCAGGGAGGAGAGGATCCTCCAGCCCCCTCTGGTGTTCTGCCTGTGCCTCCCTTTGGCCAAACCCACCTCAAAGTCGAAGGGCAAGGGAGCTTGCTGATGGAGTCAGTAGAGGTCAGCCTCATAGGCACAGGGGACGGGGGAGGGATGGTGAGGTGGATGGACTGCGTAATGGCCCTCAGAGACATCAGTCTTCGCGTCTGGAACCTGTGCGTGTTACTTGCTAAGGAAAACAGGGCAGATGTGATGATGTCAAGGCTCTTGAGATGAGATGACTCTGGTTTATCCAGCTGGCCCTTAAATGCGATCACAAGTGCTCCTCCCTCCCTTCCTTCCTTCCTTTTTTGAGATGGAGTTTTGCTCTTGTTGCCCAGGATGCAGTGCAATGGCACAATCTTGGCTCATTGCAACCTCTGCCTCCCAGGTTCAAGCGATTCTCCTGCCTCAGCCTCGTGAGTAGCTGGGATTACAGGCGTGAGCCACCTTGCCCAGCTAATATTGTATTTTTAGTAGAAACGGGGTTTCTCCGTGTTGGTCAGGCTGGTCTCAAACTCCCGACCTCAGGTGATCCGCCCGCGTTGGCCTCCCAAAGTGCTGGGATTACAGGCATGAGCCACTGTGCCCGGCCCTTTTTTTTTTTTTTCTTTGAAACAGGGTTTCACTCTGTCACACAGGCTGGAGTGCAGTGCCAGGATCTCAGCTCACTGCACTGCAACCCCTGCCTCCTGGGGTTCAAGTGATTCTCCAGCTTCCTGTGTAGCTGGGACTACAGGCCTAAGCCACCAACACCCAGCTAATATTTGTATTTTTTGTAGAGATGGGGCTTCACCATGTTGGCCAGGCTGATCTCAAACTCCTAGGCTCAAGCTATCCTCCCACTTTGGCCTCCCAAAGTGTTGGGATTACAGATGTGAGCCACATAGCCAGTCACATAGGTATCCTTGTAAGAGGGAGTCAGGCCGGGTGTGGTGGTTCATGCCTGTAATCACAGCACTTTGGGTGGCAGAGGCAGGAGGACTGTGTGAGCCTGAAAGTTTAAGGCGGCAGTGAGCTATGATCATGCCACTGCACTCCAGCCTGGGCGACAAAGCGAGACCTTGTTTTTTTTTAAAAAAAAAAAAAAAGGCCAGAGTTGGGGTTGCTGGGAGTCAGAAAGAGATCTGACCACAGACAGAAGAGGGAAAGGCCACGTGAAGACAAGGGCAGAGAAGGGAGTGATCTGGCCACAGTCAGACTGTGAAGGACAAATCAGAGGGCGTGGAGCCATGAAGCCTGGGCTTGCTGCTTGGCTTGTGACTGTGGCCACTCTGTGCCTGTCTCCGAACCTGGAGAGTGAAGAGAATCATGTTTCTCATTTTAGAGCTCAGGATCCAGGCCACCAGCCTCCTCCCATCCCAGGGCTCAGGATTCTTGGTGTGGGTTCTAGGAGAATTCAGTAAGTTATTAATACAGGTAAATGGCTTAGAATATAGTTTACGCTCAACTGAGGACAGCAACCAAAGACTGAGAGGGAGCAGCACAGGATTCGAGAAGGGAAGGGTCCTTTAAATGGGAGGTGGCCAGCTCAGACAACTTACCTATTTCCTTTGTACTGGTGTTTAAAATACACATGGTGGCTGGGCGCAGTGGCTCACACTTGTCATCCCAGCACTTTAAGAGGCCAAGGTGGAAAGATCGCTTGAGCCCAGGAGTTCAAGACCAGTCTGGGCAACATAGCGAGAATCAATTTTTTAAATAAATAAATAAAAATTGAAAATATACTTGGTAATGGTCACATAGGTTAAGTGTTATAGCTTGAAGGATATATATACATGTATAAGTTCAAACAAAAACATATACATATACATACACATTTTATACATTATATACATTTATACAAGTATCTATAGAGAACACATATAGAACATATATGCGTGTAAATATGTTTGGAACATATACTCAGACTGTAGCTACTACAAATAGTGGATATCTGTTTTGTAGCATTGCACAAACACTGAATTAGTAAAATCTAAACCATTGCTCTGAGAGGTAATATGTACATATAGATAAATATCTCACATAGATTATAATCTTTTTTTCTTTTTCTTTTTCTTTGTTTTTTGAGATGGAATTTCACTCTCATTGCCCAGGCTGGAGTGCAATGGCATGATCTTGGCTCACTGCAACCTCCACCTCCAAGATTCAAGCGATTCTCCTGCCTCAACCTCCCGAGTACCTGGGATGACAGACATGCACCACCATGCCCAGCTAATTTTGTATTTTTAGTAGACATGGGGTTTTTCCATGGTCAAGTTGGTCTCGAACTCCCAACCTCATGTGATCTGCCCGCCTCAGCCTCCCAAAGTGCTGGGATTACAGGTGTGAACCACTGGCGCCCAGCAGATTATAACCTTAAATCCTAAAACTGATCCTTCCTGGTAGATTATATTTTATTTTCTTTTTATTTTTTTGAGATGGGGTCTTGTTCCACAGCCCATACTGGAGTGCAGTGGCATGATGATGGTTCACTGCTGCCTCAACCTTCCAGGCTCTGGGGACCCTCCCATGTCAGCCTCCAGGGTAGTAGCGGTTACAAGTGCACATCACCATGCCTGGCTAATCTTTGTATTTTTTGTAGAGACAGGGTTTTGCCGTGCTAATTTAAAAAAATTTTTTTTCAGCGCTTTGGGAGGCCGAGGTGGGTGGATCACGAGGTCAAGAGATTGAGATCATCCTGGTCAACATGGTGAAACCCTGTCTCTACTAAAAATACAAAAAATTAGCTGGGCATGGCGGCGCGTGCCTGTAATCCCAGCTACTCAGGAGGCTGAAGCAGGAGAATTGCTTGAACCCAGGAGGCGGAGGTTGCAGTGAGCCGAGATTGTGCCATTGCACTCCAGCCTGGGTAACAAGAGCGAAACTCTGTCTCAAAAAAAAAAAAAAAAAAAAAAAAAAAATTTTTTTTTTTTTTTTTTACAGATGGGGTCTCACTATGTTGTCCAGGCTGGTGAATACCTCCTGGGCTCAAGGCATCCTTCCACCTCGGCCTCCCAAATTGCTGAGATTACAAGCATGAGCCCCTGCATCCAGCCTGCCATGTTAATTTTTTTTTTAAGACAGGATCTCACTCCATCACCCAGGCTGGAGTGCCGTGGTGCAATCTCAGCTCACTGCAACCTTCGCCTCCCGGGTTCAAGTGATTGTTACGCCTCGGCCTCCTGAGTAAGTGGAACTACAGACACGTGCCACCAGCACCCCTCCCCCTGCTAATTTCTGCATTTTTAGTAGAG